TGATAGACCCCTTTCTCGACAGAGAGAGACTTAAAGTTCGTGTTGAAATGTTTTCGTGGCAGGTATTGTGGAACGTATGGATACGGTTGACATGTAAGAAACAACTTATTTATGGGTTTTCTTGGTCATGTGGGACGCAAGTAAAGTGCTGCAGTCGGGGTTTTTTTTTTTTTCGTGATATTGAATGAAATTTTGTTCGTCATTATCCGTGTGCGGTTGCGTCGACGTTTGTAAATATGCGTGGTAAGATATCAGTTTTCAGTGTAAGGTAAATAACAAGTTTGTGTGATTATACAAAGTGTGTTGTTTGTGCTTATGTGTTTATTTATACTAATGTTATTGTTTGCCTTTACCGCGTTCATATTAGAATCTTTACTGTATTAATGTAATAGTATTATTGTATACAAAATAAGTTACATATTGTTCTAAGGCAGCTTGAGCCCACTGCGAGAAGTAAATTAGTTGACTGTAAACATTAATTTTAGTACCCCTGCCACACGGAACAGTTAATATATTTTCATTAAATAATATGGAACTTAATCAGTTCGCGGTCTTGCGTGATTATAAAAGCGTCGCAAGCAGATTTTTTTACCTCATAATGTCATTCGGTTGAAATTATATTATTTTTGCCATGTGGCCACGGTATGATGCGAGAATTCAGCGACTGCACGCGATAACATGCTTACACTATCGTAAGTGACACTTGTCTGGCCGTGTCCGCGTCAACTACTTCTACCTGATTTTTAACTGTGATATGTTTTGCTGCGTCCAATCACTGCGTGTCTCGCCATTTTGTTGGAGTATTTCTGCGTAAAATATGCATTCCTTCAGCAATACTTGCGTAACTCAATGTTTTCTTTTATACGCCTACCTCGTGCCATTTCATGCCAATTATTTAGAGGTGTAATATTTTGCCCAGCTTTCATTTTAGCTAATAAGACGCGTTATGACGGTTGATCAACACGCGTTGCCTTCGCTTCGACGCGCGCCCTCGATGGCCTTCCTTTGCGACTTCACGAGATTAGCGCTACGGCCTTTTCTTCTAAGAGGTGTTGCCCTGTCTCACTAAAACCGTTGAGTACCGCCAAAGCTACAGGGGAGAGAGTGTATCCCTACCTGTTCTTGAGGAGGAAAAGAAAAAAACGGGGGAATTCCAGCCCCTCTTTCCCGTTCCCCTTTCCCTCCTCTTGATACGGTTGGCATTCGCTCTCTCCCCTGTAGCTTTGGCCGTACTGCACGGTTCTAGTGAGACGGACTATAGTTTTAATAATCAGACAATAAGCCTCACTTGACGGTGCATGGCTATCAAGAGGACTTACTGGCTGGAGTGGTGTAAAGCCTGTTAAAAGGGCTTCGAGACCCTTTACAGGTTGCCCTGGAAAGCCTAAAAGAAGGCCTGTATGGTTATGCCATATCTACATGAGGTTTTCCTCAGCCTCAAAAATGTAGTGCAACGTCATGGTGCGCCCTTGGTTTTCTGGGCACCGTTGAAATCGGTTCGTCTATGCAGTAAAATTGGCAGGGGGAGAGCTAGCAGATCTGTATGTGGAAAAATATCTGGGCAGAACCAACCATATTGCCGCTGACGCAAAGTTGTGCTCCGATAGGAACCCGAAATCTAGAAAACGCGTCAAATTTAGCTTTTTTTTTAAACCTTGTAGAATGCACTACGTGCGTTCTATCTTCAAAAATAAATTAATCTACTGGTTTTCTAATGATGCCTAGCAATTTTCGAACGGGAGCCATTTGTTAATTGTCACTAATTAAAAAGTTAATTGGCAATTTTAGTTCAATATTTATCTAATTAGTATGTTTTTCTGGAAATCCCTAATATCCTCAATTGCTGGCAGTTGTTCCCGCAAGGAGCTTTTTTTTTTTTACTCAACCATCATATTTGGGGAATTCTGAAAGTTGTTTGAAACGTCCGATTTATCTTGAAAAGTTTGAAAGATCATTTATCTTTCGTAACCCCATCCCAACCTTTCTTGGACATTCACGCCTTGAAGATGTCCAATAACAACAAACAACAACAAACGTCGCAATGATTCCAATGATATCTTAGATGGCGGTCTTAAAATATCCATCATCACTTATTAAACTTTCGGGCTCGTATAGCTTGTATTCTACGGCTCTACAGTTTTTTTTTTTTTTTTCGCATTGAATCTAGTTCGTTGCACTAACCAAATGACCAATTTCAGATTTTTTGAGAAACAATAATGATGCTCCTGAGGACTGTAATTGCGTGGGTATCATTGAGCACAAATCAATTAAAATTTTGATATTTACAAGAAAACATTTTATTCATCGGAGTGAAACTGAAACTACAAAACGGAGTGTTACGTCTTAAAAGGCAACTCCACTCAATTTGGAAAATTTCTAAATAGGAGCCGATTTCGCTTTGAGAAGCTCACAAAAACAATCCTCAATCCTTTGTTTCGCGAAAAATAAAATATTATTCGTGCTATTTTACTTTAGCCATAATCCCAAACCGAAACCGAAACGATGACAAAGCCGGACAACATTGTATCTTCGGCATCACTAAGCATGTACACCCACGTGATGTACGAGGGGTCACGTGATCTATCACGCGGACATCCGATTCGCAGACATCGTCGCGTCGTCTGCAAAGCACGTGCCATTGCACGTCAATACGGACTGAACGCACAAGCCGCGCTCAACGAGGCGATGGGCCTATCGGTAGGGTATCAATTAGTGATGGATCGAATCTGCCGAACATCAGATTCGGCAAAGTTCGGCAATTGCCGAACTTTTAAAGGAAAGTTCGGCAAAGATTCGGCAAAATTCGGCAAAGGTCTGCGCATGCGCGAGAACGCGATGGGGGCGGGGCCATGGATTGCAAATGGACGCCGTGCAGTCGTACGGTTACTATCGTGCAGTGCACGGTGTTGAAACGTAGTACAACCAGGGATTAGGGCGAAGTGTAGAGTGAGTAGGTAACACGGTAACTGCAAAAAAGAAAAGAGTCAAAGTACAGGCTAGCTGGTGGAAGTCAACCACCATTTGCCTTGTCCTTTGCACCAGTCACGGTGCGAAGGACAAGTCGTATGTGATTGGTTGATGACGACGAGAACGAACTATATAAGAGGAAGTTGTTGAAATAAACGTGTAGCTGAGTTTGAGACCTGTATGTTTTTTCTGTTACTTCTGCTCTTCGAAAAAAAAAAACAGTCTCGGGGTAAACGACGAAATGGTTGACGGTAACTGCGTTTGTGAGCGAGCGTGGTTCTCTTAAATATTTTCTGCCTTAGGAATGAAAGATCGGCCAGTAATTAAAGCAGTCCACTGCGCAAAACAAATGATGTTGTACATTTTGGACGTTGAGATTCTCATTTGGCATTTCTGGTGATGCAACGAGGTAGTTGAAACATTGGCCGACAATTAATTTAAAGCACTCCTCGCTGGTATAACAATTCTGTTTTCGGGTCAGAAGTAGTGTGTTCCAAAACAAAATAATATTGCTTTTTCAATTAGCGTTATTCCGCGATTTTCCTTTGTCTGCATAAAACTAAACACAGAACTATAAAGCTCGACGTTGCACATCCGACGTTTCTAACTCTCCCTATCTTCCTAAACGTTCGTGTGTTTCCTAACACCAGTAACTGGAATTTTAAAGGTTAAAAACGAGACCTTGATCATATGAGACGCACACCTTTATATAAACCTGACGTCAAGTGACTCAAATCGAAAAACATGCATATTTACAATAATATCGTTATATCATCTGGTGACGGCTCAGCAACCGTTGCATTCGTTTTTGCACACAGAACGGTAAAACTTAGAGAAAGCTAGAACGCAGCGTTATTTCCCTCATTTTAACAATGTACACACGTGCAGGCTTCCGCTAATAATGCCTCAAAACCGAAACTCTCGTAGCCTGATTCGTGACTGCGCCACGCTCGCTTTTACCCAACCCAACCACGCCACTTGTTCAAGGAGTCATTAAAATTGCCAGAAAACACACAAAAACGACACCGATACAATTATCCTGTAGAATATCCCATTACTTAGTAATAACTCTGTCAAAATGCATCACATGTTGCAGTTAAGTTAAGAAAAAAACAACATAAAACCTTTTTTCTCCAGAAAAAACTAAATTTCAACGTTAAGTCTGGTAACAATGTATTTTTGCCGAAGCTTTGCCCAATCTCTGGAAAAAGTCGGCAGAAGGTTGGTTTTGCCGAATCCCAAAATTCGGCGCCGAACTTTCGATTCGGCAAAAGTTCGGCCCATCACTAGTATCAATATTCGAGCGCCGACCCGGCCGAGCGCGTCGCTCACGTCTCTCACGGCGCTAACGCCACCCGTGCTCTCCCTGAAAAAAAAAAAAAAAAAAAAGAAACTGTTCGTGCTTGACCATGTCACAGACGTGCCGGGAGAAGGAATTCGGAGGAAGCGGAAATTCTGCCGGAAAACCAGCGGATTCGTGCTTCTCAAACTTTGATAGCGATTTTAATGAACTTCTAGGCGGAATTCTGTCGTAATATGTGCCAGGTGGGCTTTGTAGATGATAACAAAGAGAACTGTATTGTTTTGCACTACTGAAAAAAAGCCGAAATTCACTTTCTTGGATTGAAGAGGTACGGTTTAGGCCTTCAAAAAGGCGCAGAGGTCTACTAAACGAAAAATTACGGTTTTTCAAACTTTAATTTTTTAGACTTTTTAGAAATAGTTAGACCAGCGAGATTTCAAACGTGGTTGCGTTATATTCAAGCTTTAAACATTTTTGTAAACGAAGACTGAAGGAGCATATTACAATAAATTCGTTAATAAAAAATAAACTTTCATAAGGGAGCTGTCAATATTTCAGGAATAGCAAGAGCAGGCTATTGCTGAGTTTTGGCAAGTTCCACTTTGATATTGTCGATTTCATAACCAAATAAAAACGTCTCATTTGCTTTTTTATTGCGTAAAAACCGACACAATATCTGGCTAGGTAGCTTTCCTAAAAGACAAAAGAAAAGAAGGCTGAATTCACTTACAAACGAAGCGAGAATTCGTTGAGAATGCAGGTAATCCGTAGATGTTCATTTCCTTCCATTCTACGCGGCTTGGGTTCTTAGTTGTTTTAAAAGCGGAAGGAAAACCATTCTTTAGCCATATGTTTCTAAAGGCCAGCGTGAGGTTTTTAGTGTACTGTGAGGAATGTAAAGCCGCGCTTCATCCACGTGCCTTTACAGAACTACCACGCAGAGCAGAGCTCTTTATCTACTTCGACACAGATGGTCCCGCAGGCCCGCTCATACGTTTTTTTTTTTTGTTTTTTTTTTGTCCCATGCGTTTCCTGTGGACGTCTGATGGCGTATGTGCGGAGCTAGTTCCAGGATTGTACAAAGATAACAAAAATAAATAAAAATTCATCCTTTCGTTAAGTTTTTTTTAAAAGTTTCATACAGGTTGTTTACGAATATTTTTTACTCATTTAGAAAGAAACACTCAAGGAGTTGAGGAAAGCTTTATTTTATTTCAAATACTAACTAGGTGGCACTGAAAGTTCGTAGCATGTTATATATTTGCTTTTCCTATACTCTGAATTGAAGAAGGGTAAAACAGCATACTTAACATAAACAAAAAAACGTAATGCGTGTATTCCTTCCTCAAAACCACATCTGCTAAACTACTGAAACATAAAAGAAGCACTAAAGCCTGCCTCCGTCACACCTTGATATTTTCCAGTGACAAAATAAATTGCTTCAGATATGATTAGTGCTATCGGGTCAAAAAAATAAAAAAATAAAGAGTTCTACCAGTTATATTACATAAAGCTATTCTTCCTAAGAATACTACTACTACTTCTGCTAATAATAATAACAGAAGAAGAAGTCTCATGATTCGGAAGGCCTTTTCACCGCTGTGAAATATTTGCCTCGGCTTTCTATGGCTTCGTCGAATTAAGGCTCCTGGCGAACATCTTCCATCTATACCAGGTGGGGAGATCGTCTGGGGCGACTACTCAGTCGACTGCAAGTTCACCGCTATTATGCCGATGGTCGGTCTCATCCTGGCGAGACCGCTTGCGGACTAAACCACATACGACTCTCCGCTGATTTCGTCTTCAACCAGACTTCTACACATCATCATTGGCGCCTTCATCAATGTATGTGTTGTGGTATCTGCATGTGTAGTTGTGTGCCTTCAGGTTTTTTTCCGTGAGCCCATACTTTCATATTCCAACCTTTGCATCCTCTTCCTCATCGCTGTCTTTTGTCAACTGGGTCTCCCGTTCTTCATTATGTCCCCACCTCCTGCCTGCGGCGTGTGTGGTGTGTGTGTGTCGACGGATGGTAGATGTATGTAGTGCATGGAGTGCCATAGTTCCCTTCACTTGGGTCAATGTGCCGGGATGGCCGAAGCTACCTTTACGACGATGGGAGCAGCTAAACGAGAAAAGTGGCGCTGCAAGACCTGTCACAGCGGGGACAACCGCTCGGGCGCTGGAAACGTGGAGGCTACATCTCAAGATGAACCTCACTCTTTCTCCGCCGAGCTAGCATCCGTCAACGAAAAGCTAGACGTGCTGCTGTTGTTAAAACAGAGCGTTGATTCTCTTCTCACGCTTCCAGAGAAGGTCGATGCCTTGTTGGCCTTAAAACCCACAGTTGAGTTGCTGCGGACAACCGTCCAAGAGGTCCAGGACTCCGTTGTCTTCCTGAGTGCTTAGTACGACTCGGCTCTCACTGAAATCACTGAGCAAAAAAAGTAACCAATGACCGTAAGTAGGAAGTCCAGTCAGTCCAAAACACCGTAAAGGAGCAGGCAAATGCTATTCACCTGCTTCCGGCAGAACTGAATGATGCCGAGCAACAACATCGACTACCTAACATGGAAATTCAGGGCATGCCTTCCACGCCAAAAGAAAACTTGAACATGGTTCTCTGTGACCTAGCCTCTAACATCGGCCTGTCACAGTTTACGCCATCGGATGTTCTCTCCGTCCACCGTCTACCCCCGAAGAAGGCAGACAAACCAAACACTGCTCCATTGATACTGGTCAGGTTTGCGTCGGTTGCGCTCAACGAGCAGTGGATGAGATGCCGTGGGTGACTAAGAGAGCTCAGCAACGTCGGCAGTCAGCCCAAGCTATTCTTTAATGACAATCTCACTCGTTCCAACCGTGAGCTTTTCTGGATGGCGAGGAACAAGGGAAAAGAAAGCCATTACAAGTACATCTGGGTAAAACATGCACACATCTATGGACGAAAGAGTGAAGGCTCACCTCTCCTACGGTTCAGCTCCGTAGGGGATATTGCAAAAATCGTTCAAGCTATGAGAGCCACCTTTTCCCAGTGTAATAATTTTCGTCTTTTCAAAACTTGCTAGATAAACCAAAAGGTGCGACTTTTACATGTTAGCATGTTAATATCCGGAGCCTTCGAAAATATTGGTATCATTTTCTCATAATGGTACAAAATATTATGTTTCATGTAAGTGCATTTCTACTTACGGAAATTAGTGTCTCAGACTCCATGCTTTATGAATTCACTCTCAAAGACTACAACAACTTTTGTTTCACGCGTTCAAACCGTAGTGGCGGAGGCATAGCGGTTTTTGTACATCAAATGTGGCAAGTTTCTCCCCTTAATCTAGATTTTTATCACGCCGAAAATGTATCTATCAAATTTGACAACTCCACCTTCTCATTTTCTTTGTTATGTTTCTACCGGCCTGCTTCATAAAATGTTTTAATGTTTCTAAATGAGCTGAAGGCAACTCTCTCCACATTATCTTCTATACAGCAATTTTGTTCGTGGGCGACTTTAATATAGACACAATGAAAGCGGCCAATTCTATCGTATGCGACTATCTTAACATTTTGTCGAACTTTGAATTGGAATGCGTTGTTGATGCTCGAACCCGAGAAGAAATTTTGGGAACAAAGTTAGTCACTTGCTGCATGGACCATATTTTAATACGAGCACCAGGTGTCTCTGTGTAATCTGCTGCGATTGAGGAAAAATGAGCAGATCACTACTTCGTGGGGTGTCAACTAACACACACAGTGGCGTCATACTCTAAATGCGAAAGTTCAAGACAACCCCAATTATTGATAAGGTTGTTTTCGACAAGTCAGTTTCCTCTCATGACTTGCAGGCCTTTTTAGGTACAGTTAACAACGCTGATTCATACTCAAGTTTTGTTCAAGTTTTTCGCTCGCCTACTGTTGCTGCCAGTAGAACTGTTGCTTTGAAAAAGCGGAGACCTCATCATAAATGGCTAAACATTAATATACTTAAGATGATTAAAAAAAAAAGAGGTCCTGTGGAGTCGGTGTCGTGATATCCAAACAACAAAGATTTACGAAATGATTTCAAGCAGTTGGGAAATAAAGTAAACGCTGTCATTCGTTCAGCAAAGAGGCAGTTTTTTTTAAAATCACAATTCGGATAATTCAGATTTAGTCCAGCCAAAATATGAACATTGATTAATCAATTCCGAGGAGCTGGTTCTGGAAATTCTATTGACTAAACCCTCGAACGAAATTTTGGGTCACTTACTTACCTCAGAATTAGCAGACGACTTTAACGACTTCTTTGCTAAATACTCTGACGTGCCAAGAACCACTGCTGTGAACTCATGCACACAAAAGAATGAATTTTTGGCGTCAGCTTTCCTTCCTTGCTTGGACGAGAAGGATCTGCACCCTCTTTTATTTAGTTTCAAAGCCAGAAAATCTCCTAGTATTGATGGTATCCGGGCGTATGATCTTCAGAGAAATTTAACATATGTTAATAACGTTCTGCTCGCTATGCTGAACGGCTTCATTACGTCTGGCAGCATACCTGATGAGTTCAAGGCTGCTAATGTGCGGCCACTTTTCAAAAGAGGAGAACGATCAAATGTTGCAAACTATCGCCCCTATTTTGATTCTACCTATTTTAGGACAAATTCTCGAGAAACATCTCTTTCTGACTATGAACAGTTTTTTAGATAGGAATGAAATATTTCTATTTACTCAGTACGGATTCATTACTCGGAAAGGCACGGAACCGGCACTTGATTTTTCTGATTACTTATATTCAACATTTGAAAGTAATATGTTTGCATGTGCTCTTTTCGTTATGTGTCCAAGGCTTTCGATACTATCAGCATTCAGTTGCTCCTAGCAAATTTATATCGCCTCGGTTTTCGTGGTCCGTTTTATCCTTTACTGAAAAACTTTCTATCTAAAACGACCCAGTTTGTCCAGATTGAAAACTTCAGAGTTCCCGGCTTTCCTTACTGGCGAAAGTGCCTCAGGGTTCTGTTCTTTCTCCTCTACTTTTCAATATTTTTGCGAACGACATGGCCCAGGTTATCACCGGGTGTAAAATTTACCAATATGCCGATGACACTCTCCTGGTGTCACGTCCTATTAATTTCTTTGAGTCACTCCACACACTCGAAATAAACGCCTCTCATATAATGGATTGGTTCTGCGATAACCTGCAAGACATAAACAGCTGTAAGAGAAAGCTGGTATGTTTTCACAACCCTCTTAAAAGACGCCAAGCTCAAGTAAAGTTTTTGCTTCACCCCTCCAGTTGTGCTCAATGCAACTGTGTATTAATCGAGTCAGTCGATCACGTGAAATACTTAGGTGTACATTTTGATTTTGATGTCTTGGAACATACGTATGTCATATATTTGTAGCAAATTACGTATTTGTCTTGTATGCTTTATAATACTAGATTCTTTATGCCAGTCGGTATCAGAATAATAATCGTCCATGCTCTTGCTTACAGTATCCTTCGATACGGTGTTACGGTGTTTCGCTACTGTTCGGGTCGTTGGCACTCCAATGTTAATTCTTTATTAAAAGGAATCCTGACAAGCGTTGCATATAATTCGAACTTTTCCAGCAACAGTGATAATTTTCGAAGTCTTCAATTGCCTAATCTGCGTTCTCTTTTTATGCAAACGGTAGTGCTCCGTAGCTTTTGTACAAATGAGTTTAAAACACCATTTCAATCTCTCCGAATACTGCGTCGCGTTCCTCGTTTTGTAGTGTTAATTTGCTCGACCAGGTACGGGAAATGCACTCGGGATTACTACGTTCCGTGTTTGTTCAACGCCCTCCCTGGCACTTTCATCGACATTACATCACTGAAACAACTGAAGAAGGAACCCAAGTGCACCAACTTTGATTTCATCTAGCATCTCTTTGCTGTGTCTGCATGCTTCGAGCT